TCTCGGCTCAAGGTATTTGTTGTATAGAGAAGTGGTCGAATGAGGTGATGAGTTCTTGAACCTTCCTCATAGTTGGCCATGTTGGGCTCTCAAGCTTTTAATTTGTCGCTGACCCGATTTACCACCAACTAAGAGTTGCTTAAATCATCTATGCGCTTCACACCAACCTCCTATGTGAGGCATAGTCCGACTATTAAAGCTTCATACTCAACTTCGTTGTTGGAGGCTTTGAAGTTGAACTTGAGAGTATATTTGAGAACGATGTCATCTAATCTGAGGATTAAGAGATTGTCACTGCTTCCTTGCTAGTTGGGCGATTCATTGATGTGGAGTGTCAGTGTTAGAGGCTCTTCGGCTAGATCGGTAGCTGAGAATGGTGCACCCAATGATGAAATCTATTAGAGCTTGAGCTTTGATGGTGGCTGAGGAGTGTAGTCAAGGACGAATGCTCTACCTTATCGGTTGTCTTGATGTCTTCGACTTCTGCAACACTTGTCTAAGGAGCTGATTTGTGAGGATACGAATGCTATGGGTCTGGAAGTATGACTGAAGTTGTGAGCTAAGGTCACGAGAGGTAGGGTGGCCTTCTCTAGGTTTGGGTATCTGGTTTCTGCATTGGCGGGGACCTTTCTAGTGTAGTAGATGGGCCTCTGGATTCCATCTTTTTTCACTAAGACCGAGTTGACCATGTCATCACCAGCCGAGAGGTGTAACAATAGTTGGTCTCTTAGGCTTAGCTTCATCAATAGGGGTTGCGAGCTAGGTATTACTTCAATTGTTAGAAGGCTTGTTGGTCCATTGGAAATCTTTCAATTGTTTCGGGGCCTTGAAGAATGGGAGACAATGGTCTACGGACATTGATGTAAACTTTCTGAGTGTGGCAATCCCCCTTGTGAGGTGCTGCACTTCTTTGTGTGTTCGTGGAGATTGCATATCCAAAATGTCTTGGATTGGTTTTGATCATTCTTTGAATTACCATGAACCCTAGAAACTTGCTCGAACTAACACCGAAGGTGCATTTGGTTTGGTTCAACTTCATTTTGTACTGTCTGAGGAGACCATAGACTTCTTTGAGGTCGACTAAGTGCTGCTTGGCCTCTTTGCTCTAAAGATGTGATTCATCAACCTTTAATATGTTGCACTGGAATTTTTGAGGCTGAAGGGAGTAGTAGAGTGTTAAGGAATGAGAGTGGTGAGAAGGGGGAAAGTAGAGTGTTAAAGTGAAAGCAAGATGGAGGGTGGAGAAAGGGGGTTATTAATCAAAATTGAGCTGAAATAGATTTATGACATTTCCAATTGGGTAGCACAATAACTTGGTTGGTCTGTTAACATTTTACACTATTTCAGGCTCATACCAATTCAAATTTTGACAAAAAGCTCAACCTTGGCTCACCTAATTTGTATACCCCTACAATTGAGCCAAGCGATAATAGGTCCAACCAAGCATATTTTTGGGTTATATGTCTATTAATTTTTATTATAAAATGTTTAGAGTTCAAAAATTGCAACAAACATACTTGTGAATTGTGATTGATGAAGATGCTATGGGAGCATTTGACTTTCTCAAGCACCAACAACCAGTTCATTTCCTATTCCTCCGTAATCCTCCAACCGCCTTGGAGGATCATAGATAGTTCCTCTTTTCGGCTACATCTCTTGCCCACCTTATGAAGAACAAAGTCTCTTCCCTCCCTAGCCTTATTATAGTCTTGCATCTTCTATTGTAAGCTTAACAATTTTTTTCCTGAAATATGTTTGCAAGTATGGAGCTTTGCTTTGCAATGGTTATAATAAGACATTGGCTAATAAGCAACTTTTTTCAATGAAAAGATCAAAGGGAAGCATTAAAAAAATAGATATGCATGTATCTGTCGGAGAGACGAAGAGTGACTATTGAAGATAGAGGGAGTTTAAAGCTCAGACCGAGAGTAGTCGACTATCCAAAATTGCATGGTTGACTAACTCTAACAGCCTAAGTTATAACGTATATTAGTTGATTGAATAAGAGGATCCAGTCGATCGAAGGAGGAAAAATGATTCCTCTCTGTCTATAAATGACTACAAGAATATAGTAGTCAACTACTTTGAAAGCTTAAGCGACTATTGTTATCTTTAGCAAGTCATGTTTGTGGTATTTTAATCATTACTAAGTTTAATAAGAGAGCTACAATGGTTAGAAAATGACTACTTACTCTCCAGACCTTCATAAATAGAGGTCTCTAGCTTGATTCAAAGTAAGCCAAGCAAAAGTAAAAGAAAACAATCTAAGCTATTATTATACATAGTCTTTAGTTGTTTTTGTAGAGGCCAAGTTAGCACGAGTCTTTATCTTCTTTAAAGAGATTACTGAGCTTTAAAAGTTTTTGGAGGTGAGCAAAACTGGGAAGCCCTAGGGCTTAAACAATCTCACCCATATATTATGAATCTCTTCATTAAACTGAGCATCTCGAGTTACACTCTTGCAATGGAATGGTTTTATGTTGTTGTTGCTATGTAAATTGAAATTGATCCAAGATAAAGGCCCAAGAACTACATTGAATGTGCCCTGATATAAATTGAAGAAAAAGAGAGGGAAATTGTTGGACTCAAGCCCGATAGAGTGTTGGGTGGGGTCCACTACAAACCATTTTGAATAGAGGCAAAGGGTATTAATGCTCTACCACGTTTCTTACCACTAAGCACTCATGAGATGAATTTCAATGAAATATTAAAATAAGGCCCATGGAAATTAAAAGAGGATTTTTTTTTCTCAAGTCTTGTTAGAGAGGTTCTCTCTAATAAATTTAGCGGGACGCCGGGACCCCATTTAAATGGTAATAATATAGAAAGAAGAATTGGATAGCCAAGATATGTGCTGATTATTAGCCTAACTGACCACGCAAGATTTCTTTTTTTGAATGGATTTAATCCCTTGTCACTTTGTCTTCAAGCATGCCAGCCTCATATGATAAGGCTATACAAAGTGTAATCACCCAATTACCGTTCCAAGCCCCAACCTACCTTTAGGTGATGGCAAAATGACAAAATCATCAACTGGGAATCTTCTCAAACTAATATGGTGAGCTTGGATTAAATGGTAATTGAGTTCAATGGTTATTAGGTGACAAAAGGGGGGGGGGGGTTGAATGGCATTTCCTTTACCCATCATAAATATTGATCGCATGGCCTAATTCATGGGGGCCAATTTGATCTTAGTAAGATAGGCCAGTTACGAGACATGATCAAGTAAAGGTGATAAAGAGAATCATGTTGTTAGCTGGAGGAGCTAATTTTCTTTTAATCAGATCTAGTGGGACCCATTTGATGGAAATTAATATGCAGTAAGTAATGCCTAATGGATGACCAGGTAAGAGGAAATTAAGGTTAACCAACAAATCTATTCGAAGATCACTAATGACATTTCCTTTTATAACATGGAATTCAAGATTGAAATGGGGCGGGTTCTTCAAACATAGCCGTTCATTATAAAATGGAATGAGAGAATGATGAAGGGGTCCTTATTTGGGCTTTATTCCTTTTGACAAAGAAGAAGGGATGACGACACCAAAATCAAGGTTGGTAGCCATCAAATTGTTGCAACTAAAGCCTTTTGTGGTTGAAAAAAAAGTCTATCATCACTCAAATTGCTAAAACAATCATCAGTTGTTTCTCAATTGAGATGGTGTTTCTCTCCTCCAACAACTAAATCATTCTATAGTGAATCCTTCTTAGTGGGAAACTTTTCTACCCAAAATCAGCTGTTAATTTTCATTCATGGCTGCAAGTTACGGTGAGCTTGTTTATATGTTCCTCTCTTGAAATATCTCAAAGCAAGTACATTTTACAAGATTGGGTCTTAAAGCCATTGTGCAGGCTCTTTTTTCAAAGCGCAAGTGATCTAAAAAGAAATGGAAGTTTATAAAAATTTTGAATCCTCGTGACAAAAGAACCAGAGGGTGTTCTTTGCTGAAAATGAAGAAAAAAAGCGATTGTTTCCCACTTACATTAAGAAAAAAAGATTAAATTTTCTTTCAATTTGTCTTCATTTTTTGTGCTTCAAATTTATGCACAAAATTCGTGTCGACAGTTGTAATTTGTAACATTATGAGATACCTTGTATCCTGTTATGTTGTGCTATACTTGTAATATCTCTGAGTACAAATGGTGTTCTAGGTTGAACACCATTAAGGGTTTGGTAGAGACCTTGAAGATTTGTCAGGTTATATTTTGCAGGCACTTGTGGAATTCTACTAAGTTTGGGTAGCATTCCTAAGTCTATCCGAGGTTGTAGCAGGCTTGAAAAACCAATGGTTGTAAGGCTTTATTGGTGCTTGAGAATTTTGGCTAGTTTGGTTAGTGAAAATCCTTAAAAGGTGCATGAGATAAAAAACGTAGGTAGGGGTTTTTGCCGAACCTCTATATAAATCTTGTATGTCTCCTTTGTGCTTTCTTTGCTTTATCTTAGAATTCATCCATATCAGATGGGCCTATAAATAAGCCCACTAATATCTTATACTGATCAGGTATAAGGCCTAACAAATACTTTCAATATATCCTTTTGCCATTAATTCCCAACATTATAATCTGGAGCACTTGTTCTCCACTCTGTAAAATCCAATGTCATGTTTTTTACAATGATAAAATCCCGGGAAAAACCAATTCAGCTCCTTAGATGTACATGCATTCCTGTAAAGAGATTCTACCATGGATCCTGTCCTAAGTTCCTAAGGAAACTTGGGATGTAGGTGCTGTATGCCACATGTTTCTGAATTAAACTTGATTGAATGAAATCTTAACCTAGCAACAGGCGTGAAACACCACTCCAGAAACCATTGGTTACCATCACCTTGAGGCTTACCTGATTTCTTAATTTCTTTATTTCCTGTGGGCAACCTGGTTTAAAACTAATTTTGATGAGAAAGACTTGTGAAAACAATCAACAGAGTCCCACCCTAAAATAATCATTTGGCTGAACCTGCATAATTACCATCTACTGATATCAACTGTGAATTGCAAAACTATAGAGTTAATAATTATTTGAAGTTTCAAATAACAGTTCAATATACACTGTCTTTCTTAAACCATGTAATAATGTGCAGTGTCAAGTAACTGCACCTTGATGATTGCATGGTAACCATCCACAACCAACAATAACAATTTAACTTACAGTGCCTTGTATCCTCAATTCCCAACTTCTATAACATCCTGTCTGATGTTACTCTACAGACCCATAGCCATTCCAGTTTATTGACTAAGCAAGGGAGAAATGCAAACCCAACTTAATTATTACCCCTAAGTTTCCAACATCACAAATCAATCCAATCCTTAAACAGCAACATCATGTAAAGAGGGATATTTACAGCAGCAATGACCATAAGCATTTGGAATGCTTGGAATAGTCGTACAGTCACCACCTTTGTCCTTGGCTTGTTTAATCTGGGTGGTAATTTACAGATGGCATCCAGCCTAATATCAGAATTTAAATCTACACTACAAGATGCATCTGTCTCATGAGAGATCTGTTTCTTTGCTGTAGACCTCACTACAGCATTACCCCTGCAACCAAACAGATGCAATTAAATTCCATGTTGCCAATGTAATTTGAAGAAATCTGCATTGTTGTCAAGGAATCTAAGCGGTTCTAGGTGACTGAAATACTTAGTTGCTGTGGTGATGAATTTGACAAAGAGAAAGCTTAAATTTTAGTTTAACTTCCCAGTTTATATACCGGACAAGCATACAAATTGAAAAACAGAAATTTTCTTTAATAACAACGGGTTTTATGTCAAAAAATGTTAAAATCATCACATCCAAAAGACTGGCATTTTATATCTATGAATATCAACATTCAAACAAAAAATTGCAATAAAATAATAATTCAATATAGCAATTGCATGCAGAAAACTATTAACATCTAAATAATGATACATTTAGAGAGAATAATAAAAAAACAGAGCAAAGGAAAAGAAAACAGCTATGAGGTTGATCTGCCCCCTTTTTTTTATTAGTGCCCATTTGGGAGGGCTTTAGCGCAGCAGCTTCTGGTGTTGCAAGGTAGGCCCCACATGGAAAGCCATGAATCCATGTTTGGTGAAAAATCCGGAAAGCCAAAAACAGGCTATATGAGCTGCAAAATCAACTTTCTAGTGAAGCTATTTTAGATAGCTTCTTGAAGAGGCTTAGTCAATACAGCTCAATCAATGCAGTGGGGAGACACTTGATGTACTGTAGTTAGTATTTTCTTCCTTTTATCTTTCAGCCCTTTAAGGGTTCTTTTGTAATTTTTTATATTTATCCTTTAGCCATTTAAGAAAGAAGAGAGAGGAGAGGAGGAGGAAGAAGAACAATGTCGAACTGAGTAGTCCTTAAAGTCCAACCCAATCGACCATTCATTTAGAATTGATAAACAAGTATACAAAGACAGAAATGCCCCTGTCTATGTAGGAGACATACAAAGACTAAATTACCCCTGTTTAGTTAACTCTAACACTCCCCCTTAGGATGGAAGGGAAAACACACCTGGAGTCCTGGTCATGTGATTAGAGGCTCCAGAGTCAATTATCCAGGGTGTGAGGGTTTGGATGCTAGGCAAGCTATACTTGAATGAGAGAGGGCGGCGGTGTTCTAATGTGAAGTGGCATGAAGGAATCTCTCATACTCCTCTCTTGGAATACTCATCACCTCCTTCCCAGAAGTAGTTGTGACTGTAGAAGATATTGGACCAACTGGTTGAGTATCACTGACTTCACTACCACCAACAGCTGCATGATTAGCCCATGTGGATGGTGGGCCATGCAGATCATAGCAGAAGTTAACTGTGTGCCCTTCTCTCCCTCAATGTGTGCACTTCCTAGTTGTGCTCCCCCTTCCTCTGCCACGGCCTCCCCTAGAATCACGACCTCCTCCACTGCTACGACCACCCATAGGGTTATCACGGCCTCCCTTAACTGTATGGCCACCTCCTCTGTGCCCATAAGAACCACCTCGAGAGCTAACAAGTGCTGATCTGTCGGAAGTTATGTTACTCTCTGTGGGGCTAAGAGAAATCCTGCGAAGAGGGGCAAACACTTCTTCTAGAGTAGGGAGAGCAGATCCCCCTAATATCTATGCTCTGTCAGGTTCATGCTTTGCTTTGAGTCCCACCAAGAACCGTGTAACATCTAGTTGTTCCCTTTGTTGCTACTGAATTTTGACGTGCGAAGTTAAGGGATGATAGACATTAAGTTCATTCCGAAGATTTTTCATACTGGCATAATATTCTTCAAGAGTCTGATTTCCCTGTTGCAAACTAAAGTATTCCTAATAAAATTGATAAACCCTTGTAGTGTTGTCTTGTCCAGAATAGAGTTTCTTTGCATGTTCCCATATATCCCTTACTACATCTAAAAACATGAAATTAACACTGATTTTAGGCTCCATATTGTTCCACAACCACGTCATGATCTGAGCATCCTCTTGCTTCTAATCACTAAAACCCGGGGATTCAGCACTCGGTTTCTCCTCCCGCACATGTTTCAATTTCTTCTTCTTAGCCTTTGTGAAAACCTTATTTAGTCCTAGGTTATAGTAGAGAAGAAGGAGAAGAAGAAGAAGAAGAACAAAAGGAGAAGAAGAAGAAGGGTTCGACCAGTAGAGGAAAAATCAGTCCTCTCTCTAGTCGACCCACTTGTATTTATCTCCAACAACATAATTACAAGAAAGACCATATTGTCCCTCATAAGTGATGGGACACATAACTTAAACTAAAATAAAACAAACCTTTCACTCTCAAATAGATAAACCCAAATGACCAAAATACCCCTGTTTTGTGTACTCTAACACTCCCCCTCAAGCTGGAGAGTATATGTCATATAGTCCCAGCTTGTCACAAATATAATCTACTCTGCCCCGAGACAATCCCTTTGAAAAGAGATCTGCCCATTGATTTCCTGAGCTCACATGAGATGTGGTTATCACTCCACTTATCACTTWCTCTCTCACAAAGTGACAATCGACCTCAATATGCTTGGTTCTCTCATGGAAGACTGGGTTGGAAGAGATGCGAACAGCAACTTGTTATCACAGTATAGTCTCATGGGTTTGTCAACCGAGAACCCCATCTCTGGTAGCAAGTTCTTCAACCATACTAGTTCACATGTGGTATGAGCCATAGCTCTGTACTCAGCTTCTGCACTACTCCTTGCCACCACTGTTTGTTTCTTGCTCTTCCAAGTTACAAGATTGCCACCAAGGAAAGTACAATACCCTATACTTGATCTCCTGTCTGATATAGAACCAGCCCAACCAGCATCTGTATACCCTACTATTTCAAGAGTCCCTCCACTTTGGTATAGTAAACCACGACCTGGAGCACCCTTCAGGTACCTAACAATCCTTAGAACTGCTTCCCAATGAGGAATCCAAGGATATTGCATAAACTGACTCACCATACTCACAACAAATGATATATCTGGCTGGGTAATAGTCAAATAATTCAACTTTCCCACCAACCTCCTGTATCTTCCAGGATCATCAAGCTCTTCACCTGCATCAACACCCAACCTGACATTAAGTTCCACAGGAGTCTCTGTAGGTTTAGCACCTAACAGTCCTGTTTCTTCAAGTAGGTCAAGAACATATTTTCTTTGACATAAGTTAATTCCATGCCTTGACCTTGCAACTTCTATTCCCAAGAAGTACTTCAGGTTACCCAAATCTTTCATATTGAAGTGGTCCTGTAAGAATTTCTTCAACCTGTCAATCCCRTTACTGTCACTCCYAGTTATGACAATATCATCCACATACACCACTAGCAAGATTTTCCCATCTTTTGAGTCATGGCTGAACACAGAATGGTCTACTTGACACTGTTTCATCCCAAAGTCTTTCACTACTTCACTGAACCTGCCAAACCATGCGCGTGGAGATTGTTTCAGTCCATAAATTGCCTTTTTGAGTCTACAAACCTTACCATCCTCCCCCTGAGCAACAAACCTTGGCGGTTGGTCCATATATACTTCCTCAATGAGATCACCATGTAGGAAAGCATTTTTGATGTCAAGTTGCACAAAAGGCCAATCATACATAGCAACTAATGAAATCAACACCAGAGCTGAACCAATTTTAGCCACAGGAGAAAATGTCTCCATATAGTCCACACCATACAACTGAGAATAGCCCTTGGCCACTAACTTGGCCTTCAATCACTCCACATTGCCATCTAGAAGATACTTCACTGTGTAGACTCACTTCCACCCAACAACATGCTTACCAGGAGGAAGAGCAGTGAGCTCCCACATGTAATTGTGTTGTAGAGTAGAGAGTTCTTCTTCCATGGCTTGCTGCTACCCTGGGGAGGTAAGGGCTTCCTAGACAGTCTTGGGAATGGAAATAGATGATAGCAATGATATAAAGTTGCAATGAGAAGCAGAAAGGTGAGCAGTTGAAACATAGTGTGAAATAGGATGAGAAGTACAAGTGCGTTTACCTTTCTGTAGGGCAATAGGAAGATCAAGGTCCAAGGGAGGAGAAGCAATGACAGGATCTGTTGACGAGGGCTGAATTGGAGGAGGGGCTGGTGCTTTTCTGTGAGTATACACTCGTCTGATTGGTGGCCTATCAATAGTAACTGGCATGGGAGGTGAATCTACAACTGGAATGGGAACCACGGGAAGGGGATCCGCAACAGGGACGAGAAGAGGAACTACGGGGGAAGGAGAAGAAACCACAGTATCCGAGAAAAAAGGAACCAATTCAAAGAAGGTGACATCGGAGCACACAAATGACTTATGGAAGTTAGGGTTATAGCACTTATACCCTTTTTGAGTCATTGAGTAGCCAAGGAAGATACACTTAGTAGCTCGTGCATCTAACTTGTCTAAACCAGGCCCTAAGTTTTTAACAAAACAAACACATCCAAAGATTCTTGGGGTGAGAGGAAACGGAGACAAGGTGGGAAACAACACCGAGAAGGGGGATTGACTTCCAAGGATGGACATGGGCATCCGATTGATGAGAAAATAGGATGTGAGGACAACACCATTCCAAAAATGCTTTGGTACATTCATATTAAGCATCAAAGACCGAGCAGTTTCCAGGAGATGTCGATTTTTCCGTTCAGCTACACTGTTCTGTTGTGGGGTGTAGGCACAAGAAGTTTGATGAATTATCCCATGGTGCTCTAAGTATTGCTGAAATGGTATTGAGGTGTACTCTTTGGCATTATCGGAGCGAAGAATTTTAATATGAACACCAAATTGTGTATGTATTTCAGCATAAAATTTTTGAAAAATAGAGAACAATTCACTGCAATCTTTCATAAGATAAATCCATGTCATCTTTGAAAAGTCATCAACAAAAATTACAAAATACTTATATCCATTGCATGACATCATTTTGATCGGACCCCAAGCATCAAAATGAACTAAAGAAAAAAGAATCAAGACACGACTATCAACTCTTGACTAAAAGAGACTCTATGATGTTTCCCAAGCTGACATGATTCACAATCCAAAGATGAAAGATGACCCAAGGAAGGAACCCACAACTTCAGAGCCTTGAGAGAAGGATGACCAAGT